TGAGTGCTGACCAAGCAAATCAGGCTTGTGGCCCCGGGCTGGACGATGAGTTTGGGCCTGTGATTTGGCAAGGCAGGATTCAGCACTCAGCAGGAGCTGGGAAATGTGCCTCAGTTCCCTCCTCTGCTCGGGGGGCACTGGGCACGTCTGAGGATGGCATTAACAGCACTGGGAGGAGGCACTTGTTGGGGACTGTCCTGTGCTCACATAGGAGTAGCTGTGGGATAAAAACAGCTGACTTGGGGGTACTTGGTGCGCTTTTGGTTTCAGCCAACAAAAGTGGCACGTGTCAGAAAAGCAGGAATGAACTCTTGATGTTTCTGGAACATGTTAATTTAGGTCTTTTGCCAAAGAGGTGGGAAGAAAACGCTACAACTGAGCTAATTCTGTGGTTGTGCTGCCATCGCCTGCTTTTAACTTAATCCCCTTATAGTTAGTTTTTATATCAAGGATACAAAAGATTCAAGTTGAATCCTGCCTGTCCCATTGAGAGTGGGGAATTGGTTGAGGTGCCCTATTACTGTGATTACTACTGGATTTTAAAGCCCTTCCTGCTGTCTTTCTAGTTCAATAAGTAACCCAATGGATTTAAGAAACTGAACAGAGGGTATCTCGATTTTCTTTGCATCATGGGATTGGAAGGCCATGCTTTTATTTATGCAAGGGAAATAACTTTTCCTGTCAATTTAATAGACGATTTTGGAAAATCTGCTTTAGGTTATTGGTGAGATTTTGTCATGATTTTTATTTTTCTAAATTGCAATCGCCATTTTTATCAGAAGTAAAGGAAGAAGTCTTTTAAGTACAGTTGCAGACTGCAGTGTAACTCAAACTCTCAAGGACATCGGTGGGGGGGATAGCAGAGTCTTTCAGCAGTAAGATTTTGCCTTTGCTGCCAGAAAGGTGTATTTTTTTTATATCCAGTGTAATTAACACAAGAGCTATCCCAGGGTAGAAATAATTCACTCTGTGACATAACTGAAATGTCTGTGCTGTCTGGTTTTGGTTTTAACCTTGGGCTTAAAAGGAACCAAAAATTTTCAGTTGTAAAAGAGCACATCATCTGCAAAATATTATAAGCCATTTATCTTTAAGCACAAATGCCATCTAGCAGTGCAGCTCCACTTATGCGTCATTAAATGCACAGACCACACTCATTTTGCCCCCTAACCAGTAACAGTCTCCCTCAGAAAGCCTGGGTATTCCCCAGAGCCCTGGAAGAGGCACAAAGACGGTGGTGAAGGCAGGCAGGGAGGGCCCTGCCCTGCCCTGCCCTGCCCTCCCAGGGGAGTGTTTGGGGTTGCTCTGACACAGGGGCTGGCATTCCGTGCCCACCAGCCCCTGCTTGCTCGGGGTGGGCAGCACTGGGGTCGTGTGGGCACGTCCCACTCCCCATCTCCCACTTCTCTGTGCCACGCTGGGGTTTGCAGATGCAAAGGCTTTGGGAAGGGCACGACGTGGCAGCTGTTGTGCACCGGCTGTGGAGAGTTGGCCAGGTGGGCTCACGGTGGTGTCTTTGAACTGCGTGTCTGAGGGCACCTTTCCTGCCAGCAGTGGTTTCTCCAGGCACTGCCCGAGGGCCAGAATGGAGCTCTCTGGGGTTGCAGCAGCAAGGGCAGGGTTTGGGTTTGGTGTCAGGTGAACCAAAGGCACCAGGCAGGTGGTGTGCTGGTGGCTGCAGCACTGACAGGAGCGTGGCTGGCTGGGTACCACGGTGAGCGTTGCACCCTGCTGCCTGAGGGACCTCCCAGCAGGGAGAAAACGGACCCAGATAGCAAATAAACTATTTTGAGGAGAAGGATTTTCTGACAGCCCTCCATGTAAGTGCTCCTGTCCTGTAGGTAAGAGCCTGGGGAAGTCATTCCAGCTGAAGACTTGCCCCCAGTAACTGTTCTTGCCAGACAAGCACTCATTCACAGTCAAAGGAGGTTTCTTCAGCTTTGGGTAGATGCCAAGTTAAACTTCCACTAAGATTTCTTATATTTGCAGCCACGATTGATTACTTTTCTCATTATTTGATCTTGATACAGAGACATATGGATTGAGCTATGTTTATATTAACCCCCAAAGATTTTTTTTCTTTAGGAACATCCATCACAGTTGCACACAAACTGTTCTGCTCTGGCACTCGCAGCTGGTATTAGCTGGGGGTTCTCAAAGCTTCTACATGTGGCAGTTGGTGTGGATCCTCCTAAAGAAGCCCCAGTGTTCCCAGCTAACCCAGAAGGCAGCAGTGGTTTGTTGGATGCACAGAAAAAAGCATATCAACAGCTCTGGAGAGTGTGGGCCATGGCTGTGCATAAACCTGGTAGTTGGAGAGGATTTTACAAGTTGAATCCAGAGAACTCACCAGTTACTGACTTTATACATGCAATAAAAATTCTCAGGGAGGGGGGAAAACCCCACCCTTTCCCCCTATGATTTTCAGGGAATTTCATGTTGCAGTTTTCAAGGGAGGAAGAAGTTCGTGGATGTGAAAAATGCCAGAGGAAATTGCCATTCAGTTTTAATTATTTCTGATGTAACACTTTATTCAGCAACTGTTTTTATTGTTTTCTACTTGGTGGTTTTAAATCAGTGGTCTGCAGATTCCTGGGGTTCTTGGACAGCTTGGGATGCCTTAAAGTTATCTTAAGAAAAGCAGGTCTGTTGTTAGTGCCTTTGAGTTCCTTGTCCAAGGGTCTGCTCCATCCCGGGAAAATATTTCATGTATGCACAAGACTCAAAGCTTGAAAATAACTGTTAGACTGAAAATGCTCCGAGAGGCTGTTTCCCTGGAGAGAAGCTTCTAATGAAACCTCTTGTTTCTGTTTTTGGTTATTATTTCCAATTAGTTAGACCTTGTCATTCTTGGTTAAGTCTGAGCTGATGGAGGGGGTGGAGTGAGAACTTCCACCCTTGCTGCTTTTCTCCTCCTGCCTCTCCAAGCAGGTAATTTGCCCCCTCCTCATTCCTGTGTTTACTTTAGGTGAACTGCCTGATCAAGCTCTCCAAAGTGTCAGAACAGATAATTGTGTTCAGCTGTTGGACATAGTTACACAGATAGCAGGATATTGTAATTAACCCTTTTCCTGTACAAGGCTGAATTCCATGAGTGCTTTGGGGTAAAAAGTGCTTAGAAGGTGGGGTAGGTTTCTCATAGCTTCTCAAAAACAGATGTAAACACTACTGCCCTTCGTTTCACCAGCCTACAGCTTTATTTCTGGGCAGTTTACATTTAAGAGTTTATAAATAACTCCCTACTTTTTTGGTAGCATTTGAAGGCAGATGCCAAATCCACGTGCAGTAGGCAGAAGGTGGGGGGTTAAATGCTGTTATTGGTGTGTTATTGCTGCCTCAGGCTCCCCTTGAAAGGTGTCCTTCCCCTGCAGCACAGAGGTCTTTGGAGCTACAGCAGGACAGAGGGACAGGCGTGGCATGCCAGGGGTGGGGACTGGCACCCAGTCACATCTGGGCTGCAGAGCTGTGTGTGAGGGCCGTGTCACATCTTTCCTTCTGTCTGGCACCCTGGTTCCTGTGCCAGCTGGTGATGGGCTGAACAGGGAACCCTCCTTCGTCCAGCAGCACACTCACTCAGTTGTAGGGCTTTGCTGTTGCCTGTTCTTGGCTTTGGAAACGTTCCTCCGTGGGCTCTTGGCTGGCAAATCGCCTGCCTGGGGCAGGTGCCAGGCGGTGGCACTGAGCTGCACGGGCAGAGAGATGGGGCACTTGAGTCTTCCACGGAGAGCAGGAGCCTGGAAAGGTTCCTCTGTGTGTCCTGGTGTCCTCTGATCAAAAGGTTTGCAAACTGGTAGTACAAAGGGACTGGTGGAAAATGACAAGTATATTTGCAGTGGGTTTGCATCAGTCTCGTTGGGGTGTTGTGCTGTTGTGCTGATTTAGTAACACGATAACTTCTGGCACTGGTGCAAAAAAACCATCCTCAAGATCGGCCTGCAACAGTGTGGTGGTTTTGGTCAGGCTCTGGTACCCACTAGAACATCAGTCTTGGATACAGGACTGCTAAGACTCCCTGGATCTTGTTTAATAAAATCACGTAGTGAGGGCATTGTGATTATAAATGACACTTGGGAATTGGCCTGCAGAGTCCTTGCTGGGTCGTGTGGTGTGGCCACCACTGTTCCCAGCTTCTTTTTAATTTCCAAAAAGAAGGCACGTAGCAGCAGCTGGAGCTAGAGGTAGAATTCATTCAATTGCTTCAAGGAAGCTACTGCCAGCAAAAAACCAGCAGCTCAACAGTGTTGGGTCGTAGAGAGGGGAAAGGGATCCAAGTGACTGGAGCTGGTGTAATGAGAAGGAAAAGAACCAAATGATTTGGCAGCGTGTGAAAGAGGTAAGGATGTGGTAGAGAGAGGAGCAGGAGGAGCTGAAATGAAGAGCAGGAGTAAACAATGTCATTTAACTTATTCAAAAGGGACAGAATGCTTATTAAAGCTCTGAGAGATGATGAATTAGCGCTTTGCTGCTGTTGTTGTTTCAGATAGAGTTGTCATATGGTAATGCAGCAGCGGTGAAGGCTGGAGGCTCACGGATTCGGAGAGGGGAAGGGAAAGTGGGATATGTGGTTACATGATTGAAAGTTGGAGCTGATGAGGCGAAACGCGCAGCCCTGATTCAGGAGAGCGTCCTCACACGTGTGTGCTGTTCCCAGGAAGCTGCCACCACACCGCAGAGGGGTGGCTCCAAATGTGTTCCCTGCTGCTGGGAAGATGGATCCCACACTGGGAGCTGCTACCTCGGCCGGGAGGAGCTGTCAGAGCCTGCTCTGGCTCATGAAACTCTTGGCTGAAGCAGCCCCGGAGCCCTCACCTGGGAGTGCTCTTTGGCTGCTCCTCCTGTGGCAGCACACAGAGTATCAGGAGCTCGTTTGAGGCTCCCTGGCTGTGAGGTTTCCCCCTAAGGAATACTGGGCTGGGGGAGGGAATCTCGAAATGATTCTTATCTGACATTACACAGAGTCTCTTGCATTACTTACTGTGGCATATTGTTTCCTCCCACAGAGTTCTGCTCAATCGCTTTCAGGAAGAGGCTACTCCGTAAGTCATTTTACAGCTAATTCTTTCACTTCTGTTGATGTTGATTGCAGAGGTTTCCACTACCTGTTGCACAGCCACTGACATGAAAGAAATGCTGAGCATAAGTAGGGCTAGAGCACAGGAGTGTCATGCACCTGGCAGGGGACAGCCCTGACATGTGAGAAAGCACTAAGAGCCTGGGGGCTTCTTAATTTAATATCATACTTATGCAGAGAGGGTTTTGGGGTGTTTTTTTTTGTTGGTTTATAGTGTATTTCAGCTAGATAGTCACCTCTGGAGAATCAAAAGACCTGAATGGGGGGAGAGTTTTCCACACCAGCGGGAGATGCTTCCCTCCTCTCCTCCCTCCCCCATGCAGGTTTTCATTTGTGTGTTAAATACTACACGATTGCTCCCATTTTAAGAGGAATTGTGACCCTCACCATTGTGAACAAAAAAAGAAGTCAGTATTCCCTTATTTACAGTCTCTGAGTTATTAGACAAGCTCCCTTGCCTTCAGAGGAGGGTGTTGCTGGTGTTTTCTTCGCAGGAGTGCCGTAGGTACCAGTGTTCTGGGGTGGTATTACATGCACCAGTCTTGTTTAATTGTCCATTCTGTTCACATGTACCTTACTTGTGTGTGCAATAATGACATTTCTTCATGTAGAGGTGGTATAATTTGTTTATTCTGAGTGCATTTGCTGCTCAGCTGTCCAAAAAGGCAGGCACAGACAGGACTGTGTAGAGTAACAGGGAAATTGGAGCGGGTGTGAGAGGCTTAGCAGTGTCAACATGAAAATTCCTGGAATCACATTATATCTGACTCTCATAACAAATGTATGGTGTGGAGATATGATACCCTGGTTGTTCAGCCAATTAGTCATGTGTGCCCTTATTGCCAGCGCAAAGGTTGTAGATGAAGGGGTGTGCTAATCCCGTGTGCAAATCTGAATGTGAAATGTCTCAGTCCAGCAAACAGTTCCTGCCTGCACTTATCGACAGTAATTGCTGCTTTCACAACCTCTGCCATGATGAAGTTTTGCCTTCTAGGTGAATGGTCCCAGCCTGTTTCTAAGAGCTGTAACTGCTCAGTTTACATAGGCCAGAACAAGGATTTTTTATGTACTTCAGGAATTTGGTTTGGACGCTTTTTCCTTTTTTAACAATAATCATGGAAAGTCTTTAATCGTTTTCTTTCAGTAATTTATGTTGTATATTTGGAGGTGTGTGATGGAACTTGTGAGCTTTTACCCTCTGCTGCGCAAAAAAGAGAGGAAATTGGTAGGCAGTGCAGAATTTATGGTCTGATTTCATAGTGACACTGCTTCATGCTATCATACATATTATCAGAAATTCATAGTACGAGACTAAGTACATTTTCATTATAAAACCATTACAAAATAACACATGACTTGAGAAGTCTTACAGTTTCAATGAAATAATGCCACAAATTTTTAGACAGTAATTACACGCCTTCCAAGTACCCTCCTGTCTAAATCTTCCCAGCATCCCAGGTGAGTATCATTGCTTAACTCATTGAGTGATGAGGAATGTTTGGACCTGGACAGTCAGATTCACCTAAGCTTCTAAAGGCAGAGGCTGGGTCTTCTATTTGTCTGTAAAATGCCATGCATGCCCATGGCACCACATAAATAATAATGAATCATCTTCACAGATTTTATGACTGAGGGCATGGTTTGGGAACTAAACAATTTCCCACTGGCTATAACATAGGTTGCAAAATCTTAATGGAAAAAGGCCAAAGAATTCTTTTCAGAGTCTCGAGGCTAATAAATCATAGGACTGTTTTCTTCCATTGCTGGCTCTTCAGAAATTTACTTCTCTTTCTCAGATAAATGATTTTGAGAAAATTTCCAGCTCCTTCTCTGTTGTTTGTGTGGGGACAGGGTTCTTTTATTTCACCACCCCATAACTTCTCAAGGGAGGAAAGAGCTTTCTGCGTGCCAGGGCAGTATTTTGAGATCACGAGTAGCATGAACTGGGGTTGCTTTTGTGCATGGATTGTCATTTTCCTGGATAAAATGCCTTCTGCCTCACCGTGTACCAGCTGTTGAGGCTGACCATTTCCCCCAAGACTCTAAATTGATTTAGCATAAGGCAGAGACTGTCACTTCCAGCGCTGCCAGACCCTGCTGGCCCAAACTCTCGTTGGAAGCTGATTCTCCCAGGTGGCACAGAGATGCTCCAACCCCCAGTTCAAGGCAACTGGTGTCCCCCCCCTACCAGGAGTTGTCCATAATACCTTTTAACAGCTTTCATTTTCTTGGGGAAACAGCTGTATAGGAAACCCCGAGGTACTATTTTGGCTCTGCCCCCTGTTTACATCAAACAGGTTGCTTGCCAGAGGTGGTGAGGGCATGATAAAAACCTGGGGCTGCAGGAGGTGGGGACGCCGCTGTGGAGTGTCCCTGCTGGAGCTGGGCATGGCCTGTCGCTTGTGGAATGATGAGATATGCTCAGGTCCTCGCTGGGGGTCTCAGAGGCAGCTGTTTAAACACCTCAGGGTGTTCTGTGCTGGTTGGGTTTTCATCGCCCCGTTCCGGATCTCGCCCAGGCTGTCCTGGCAGAGCGTTGTTGGCTCTCGGCAGCCCCTGTGCAAAAGGTGCTTTCCTAAGGAAATGAGCGTTTGCAGAAAGAGGGCTCGAAGCCTGCAGGAGGAATCCTGCATGGAAAATCTCAGCCCAGGGTTCAGCCCAGCCAGCTGGGCTGCAGAGAGGAGGCAGCGAGGGCCTGCCCGGGCAGTCAGAGAGAACTGGGGTTGAAAACCTTGGCAGACCACTCGTCCATAAAGTACAGACCCTGGAGCTAGAGTCAGGAATAAAACTGAATGCAAGTGTCTAAATAATAACTCCCGAGTATTCCAACAACTTCACTGACCTCAGGCTTCCCCTGGAATATTTAGGTGCCTAAATAAGGACCGTGCCTGAAATAATTTTGGTCTTGTTGAAGTTACCACATAACCTGTGGTGAACTCCTGCTGCACCAGGCTTTAAATTGAGCCTTAAGGCCAGCATTAACAGTGACCTGGCACATAGTTTCACTCGTGGACAAAATTTCTTGGAAATCCTATTTCCCAAAGTAAAGTTTTGAATGGCGCATTTACTTCTACTCGGCTAGCACGAGATAGACCCATGTCTGTGCTGTTTCTGCAAGCTCCTTATCTCATCAACAGCATGTGTTTCGTACCCTTATCTTACTAAATGTATACTTCCTCTGTGCTGAGAAATAGAACACTAGTTTGTTTATGGAGGTTAGTATCTTATTCCTTTTATGACTTGATGGTTACACTGGTGTGATAAACTGCTCCAGCCATTTGTCACACTTCCTGCACACACAGATGAGATTAGTGATCTTAGTCAGAGAGGTCTGTCTGTCCTCTGAGCAGACAAAACAGATTTTCTTCTTGGTAACAGGATGAGAGAGGCCTGTCTACCTGAAAATGCACTGATTTGTTAAAAAACACGCAGAGAATCAGCAGCCAGCTGTGTGTTGAGATTTCTGTATGTCACCGGTGTGTATCCACCCTGTGGACCGTTTTTCAGATTTATTTCTGATAGTTAAGTCATGGTGGTTGAGTTCTGATAGTTAAGTTCTAAATGAACTTAATGCAGTAAGTAGTTTCAATGAACATAAGATCAGTATGTGCAGTTTGTTATTAATAGATAAAAAGCTGCAATGGTTTATAAGGTTGAGCACACTAAGCGGACAAACCTAAGCTGCAGCTGAAGTTAGGCTGAGTTTTGTAGAGAGCATGGAGAAGGATAGAGCTGGGAATATGTGGCAGCTTAAAAAAAATAAACAAAAAGCCTCTTCCAATAAACTGTGTAGTTTATTTATAGAGCATCTGTGCAGCTGTTCCTCCTCTGAAATGGCAGGGGCTAAAATGTGGGAGTGAATAAAAGAATAAACTTGAAAGCATATGGCAAATGGACAGCCAGTGAGCCAACCTGTCTGAGTGTGCCTTGGAACCAAAGTACAGGAGGATGGGACGTCTTTGTTTGGTTTTATTTGTTCTTGAAAGAATTTTTTTTATTTTTTTTTTAAATAAAAACAGTAACATACACTTGGCAACAGCAGCAGCTGATTTTCATTCTGAGCTTCTGTAAAATATCAAAGTCTTTGTAGCCTAGTCAAATCCCTGGCAGCTCATCAAATTCTGTTGCTTTTACATCTTCCTTGTTGAGCGCCGGAAACCGGTGTCTCAGATAGCTCAGGCTGGAGCCCGTGGATGGAAAGAAATGTGCAGAACACCATAAGGCTTGCAGAGGCTCCTGGGTCACCCAGAGTCAGCTCAGGGGTATCTGCACCCTTCATTCCTCCTGCTTGGTGATGTGGCTGGGGAATGGTTGAAGAATGGGTGAAGCTGGACCTGAGGTGGCCCAGGCAAGCCCTGGGTAGGCTTTGAGCACCCTGAGCCTGCCTGTCCCCCAGTCTGCCCCTTCCTGACTGTCCCTCTCAGATTATCTTGTTGATTTTTGGGGCTGGCTTTGCAGTTGCTGGCAAAGGTCTGTACAGCCATCCAGGACTCCTCTCCTGTGCTGTGCATTCGATGGTGCTGTACAGGGGGCTGTTGCCCAGCACAGCTGCCCACAGCCACCTCACCCCACTCAGACCTCTTCAGCTCGTGCCCACGGGCACAGTTGCCAGGACAGCCAGTTCTGAGCTGGAGTTCACCTGGTTTGCAGCACTGAGAGAACTCAGGGGGAAGGAGGACTGCAGAGTGCTGCGTAATCACCTGCCGAGGAACTGTTGACTCTTTGCAGGTTTATATACCCTGTAAAGCTCTTCTCGTGGCCTGTTTCAGTGTTGTGCCAGCTCAGTGCAGTTCTGGGAGGCCCTGAAACAGATGGTCCCTGCTAAGGAGACTGTTGCCACGCCAGAAATCCTCGGTGTGTGCACGAGCAGGTTCAGTGGGATGGTTCCAGAGGCTCACTGAAGATTGTGCCAGCAGCATTCCCCTGATCCAGTCTGTGCTTCAGGGATGTTCTTGTGCTGTTAGG